TTAATGTGAATCTATTTTCCTACGTGACGCAATAAAGACGTGACGTTAACTTACTCTCTGGTCTCCGCCTTTCATTTCAGCGGGTGTTAAATCACTTCCTGATGACTAATCGGATCTTTGGAAAATGCCGTCAGCATTCCCGAGGGTCCCTCACTGCTCACGGGATCTGAGGGTCACAAGAGGACTTGGGGGTCACAAAAACGGAATCCTCTGGGACAAACCTTGATACGCTGAGTTTGATTTGTTTCTAGTTTGAGTCTGAAATCAGATTCTTTTTTGTTAAAATGTTATCATTTAGTTTAAAACAGACCTGAAGTATTTCAAATGGAGCAATGGGTTTAAAAGATGGTTTCTTTAAATGTCTTCTTTCTCTTCTCACTTATTTCATGTTCTTTGTAAAGCTGCTGATGGAGATCGAAAACAATCAGTGAAAACACAAAAGAGGAGCTTGATTTTCTGCCTGTGTGACAATCGCAGACATAAGAATAAAATGCTTTAATTGCCGTTGTTCACAGTGAAATTGTGGGTGGTCCACACCAACTGTGCAGGAATAGAATATAAATAGTAAAACAGTCGGGAGGGGCTGTCGCCAGTCCCCTTCAAGGCCTTCCCCAAACCGCAGCACTATCACACTTCCTCATCCATCCTTACCAAGGAAGTGGTCCCTGCTAGTGAAATACAATTTATTAATCAAAGGTGAGCGGCGATAACTGACTACATGTGTATACTGTGACATGATTGGACAGACATGGATGTAAACCACACTGAGGTGAAGTAACCACAAGGCACTGATTCTAACGTAAAGGTACTCTGGATATTATCAAATGTGCAAAGATTGTTAAATGTTACATTTTTTGTTTGTCAGGTGTCCTGTTTGAAGGAAACACTGGACTGCATGTGTGCACATGAACACAAGGAAGGAGAAATCCTCAGACTTGAAAGATTGTTCGTTTATTGGCTGTTTAGTCATTTTATGACAAGATGGATGCGGTTGTTATATTTCAATATAGTTTCTGAGTTGAGGAGGATAAAAGAACATTTAACATTAAATGTACGGATGCTGTGCACTAAGCAAAGCTTCATTTACAAAGTTTTCTCCTACCAAATTTTGAGAAAATGGTTGTAATCGTATAGAAATGTAAGATTATAAAGAAGTACATTTAATGAGTTACAGTGAAAAGAAGTGGCTGTAAATGGTCACATAAACAGAACTTTCAGTTTTTCTCTTAACGGAAAAATAAACAGTGAATAAACGGAACTTTCCGTGTCATAACTGAAGGAAATGTCCGTAAATAGTACAGAGTGGACTGAAACTCGACACAATGTTCCTTTTAATGTCAGCGTCCGTTAAAAAAAACAGAAAACGGAATTTTTTATGCAGTGCAAAAAACACTTGTTGTGACAGGAATGTTGTTTGTGGCTCAAGGTGAAGTGACATCGTTCACGAGGGACACACCTGACATATATCTCACATATTACAGGCCAACAGATTCTTTTAGCGGTTTAAATACGGACAGTCGCTTTTTGGCAGAACACCGGGGTCCCGAGCCACGCAGTGAACGATTGGAAAGCTGACATCACGTCCACAGGAAACAAGTCTCCACGTCCTTCACTTACACGGGGGCTTCACTTTTCCTCACTGCTAAATGAAGTAATGTAGTCAGTCAGGTGATGTGGGGAAGCTGTTTTCCCTGCAGACGTGCTGATGGTCGTGTCTGTGCTGGGCTGTGAACTGTCTGGATGTCTTTGGGAGCGCGTCAATAAAAAGCGCATCCGCTGATTGCGCGCTCGGTGAATCAGTTCGTGTCGGTCCGGTGACCACCTGCTCCGTTACCGCTAACAGCTGGACTTTCCCGTTTGAGTGCAGCTCGCTGAACCACAGTGACATCCGTTAATTCATCTCACGGAGGTGGATAAACCGATCAATGTGGTCTCATATTAATACATAGTTAATGCTATAATATTAATATTATGATGATTATAATTCACTGATGGACTCTCATAATCAAGCAGCTGCGACAGATGTTTAGGGTGCAGATGTTCCATCAAGTTCACCCGCAGACCCACTTTCTGCTCCGTGCTGTTCCGCTGCCAGCCTGCTGGGGGCGCTCTGAGCGCGCATTCAGTGGGTGTGTTTACAATCTAAGTACCTGAGGCTTTTACTATGAAAGGGCTTTTGTGTGGGAGGACAGGAAGGAAATAGTTTTGGACCAACCGGAAACAGAACCAAAACAGAACACCTACTTGCAGAAATGACGCAGTCTAACTTCAAAATAAAAGCTTCATGAGCCTGACCCCACCTAAGGGGCAGGAGCTGCTTATTGTCACGTATAGCTGCTGTCTTTACAGATCCTGATAAGTATCACCGCTATGAAGGCTCAGAATAATCTCAGAGTCAAAAACGTGATTTATTACTATTTATCACAGAGCATAAAATGTGGTAAATAAACATGAGTACAGAGGAAAGTGGTGACAGGACGATAGCTGAATTTTAGCTTTTATGAAATCAGAAGTGAAACTTGTTTCAAAACTGTTTGACGTGAGAGAGAAAAATAAGCTCGAGGACAAACGAATGTTGAAAGAAATGAGTCAGAAACGCAGCTAAATGCAAGCTCGCACATTTAATAACCACTTTAAAATAAGTAACATTTGATTTATATAGCACCTTTCTAGACAAAAGCTCACACACACACACACAGATAACCAGGTATAAAATAAAAACAGGCAAAAAGTTAACAAAATGCAAATTTCAAAAATAAAATGAATAATTTTGAAGACAGATCAGTGACTACAAATGGGGTCAGAATTTATCATATAAAAATGTTCATTTTGTTTACATGACCTTTATATGATGAATTCTGACCCCATTTGTAGTCACTGATCTGTCTTCAAAATTATTCATTTTATTTTTGAAATCCTTTACTGCATAAATGATAAAAATTAAACAAGACAATATTACAAAGTTACAAAATATTAGAAGTAACTCCCATATATACAAATAGCTCACCTATAAATGTCCAGAATATTACAGATAAATACTCTAAGCTGTAAAACTTTGTTATTTTCTCTGTAAAGGACAAACTACAGGCTGTAACTGCTGCTCTGTGTGCTCTGCATTAGATGGAGGAGTCGTACACAAATATCCACAGGCAGGGATGAGTTCCTGTGTCGTTCAGTCAGTGGCGGTCCTAGCCTGTTTGGCGCCCCGGGCGAACACTCCCACTGGCACTGTATGTAGCGGAGATGACAATAAAGTTTACTTTGACTTCAGCAGCGAGCACGCGCACCAAGGGCTCGCGCGCTCACTTTATAGAATTTCGAAAAAACATCGGTGCAAATTATAAGTCTGTATCATGATGTCTGGTGTTTTCATGTTTGATGTTTTGTTTTTATTTTGTTTTATTTTGTGAGTTGGTGATTAGATGCTGCTCCAGCCAGCCAGAGACTCCCCCGCGGCCCCGCCCTCTCCTCCCTGTGCTGCATGCGCACCTCGCAAACGGAGGGCGCGCTTACTCCCAGCAAAAGGGTGATAGAAAACCGACCGGTGCCTGTGCCATTCCCAATATGCGCTGGCTGATGTCGGGGCAGCATGAGTATGAGCAATTTTTTTTTCCTGGTGCCCGTGATGCCGCCCCCCACCACGATGCCGCCCCGGGCAACCGCCCGTATCAAAAACCGCTACTGCGTTCAGTGGTGCACTATGGGTAATCTCATTGGCCATGGAGTGTATGGGATCCAGCATCATCCTTATCTTGGACAACATCCACCTTTCCGACAGCACCCTAAGGGAGTCCAGCTCCAACCCCACAGCATTACTGACCTTACAGATCAGTTTATTGAGTCTGCTGGCATCTGCGAGCCTCAGCCTGCTGTCCCAGCATGCAACAGCATAGAGAATAGCACTGACCACAACAGACTCATGAAGGAACTCAGAGCCCTTCCTGTAGAGAGCAGTGGTGTTTTTAACCCAGTCCAGTTTGTTATCAGTGTGTACTCTGAGGTCCTCCACAACGTCCACATCGACCCCTGGACTGAAACAAGAACATGTGTTTGAGTGTTTCATGTTACTCTGTCACGGGGTATTTCTAACACAGACACACAGGTAATAACCGTTGTTTCTACATGTTTTACCGGAGGGAATAAAATCCAACATTAAAGTGAGAAAAGTGTCCCATTAACTCCACACCGTGAGGACTGGTTGGTGACGGCCCACAGCTCGAAGGTGTGACCGACTGCATGTGCTCCGTTCGTACAAAGACTCATTGCAGCTCGGATCTCAGCTGACCCTTCTCACCCTGGACACAGTCTGTTTGACCTGCTCCCCTCAGGCAGGAGGCTCCGGTCCATTCGCACCAGAACCTCTCGCCATAAGAACAGTTTCTTCCCCTCTGCTGTTGGACACATGAACAATAACCATATGACTGTTCCCACCACTAACACATGACCCTACGCTGTGTCACTGCATCATTCCATGTTTGGCACTGATCACCACCTGCACTCATGTATATATCTTTCTACGTAGCACTCTTAATTCTTACTCTCATGTATATATCTCATGTATATCTCATGCACATATCTTTCCACGTAGCACTTTTAATTCTTATCCCTACTTTTATTTTTTTCCATGTCTATTTAAGTGTTATTTCTGACACCATGTTTGCACTGAAGCACCGCAGCAATTTCCTAATGTTGTAAACCTGCTCAACATTTGGCAATAAACCCCATTCTGATTCTGATTCTGATTCGAGTCGTCCCCTCAAAGATGCTTATGATAATGTAGTGATTTTGAGTTTCGTGTTGCTAAATCCAGTGGAAAAGTATAAAAGTATAACTTAATTCATCTAATGTTGGCAAAGCGACGAGTTTCCTTGACCAAAACAAACCATCCATGCGCGCCACCCCCCAACACACCGTCCCCCGTGTTGTCCTACTGTCAGTGGCCCGGATGTCTTCAGCTGGTTTTTATTTTTTCCTCTAAGTGCTTTTATTGTGTAAAGACCACCGGAAGCTCCGACAGTTATGTACAGCCTCTGTCTTTACGGATGTTGCGTCACCGCAGTTTTAAAGCAAGCCGAGCCGAGCCAGGCCACAAACCCAGAGCAGATGGACCGACCCTAAAATCCTGGACTAAGCACGGCACCGGGACCCGGATCAAAGAACCGGACCGTACCGGGACAGCCCGGGGCGGAGCGGACTGAAGTTCGATTGTCGGAGTTTTGAAGGGGGCTGAAAGCGCCTCGGTACCCGGGTAGGTGCTGCTGACCTCGGTTCGTTTTTCCGCCTCGGCCTCTCTGTTATTGTTCGGGTTAGCTAGCTGTTAGCAGGTTCGGCAGGCCCGGGTTAGACTCCGGGCTTAAGCTGCCTCCTCCGGTTTGTTTTCATCAGGAGGGAGCGGCTCTCCTCCTCCTCTTCTTCACAGTTTGAGTTCTGCATCAGAGGCCCGATTAATCGATCCGAACCAAACAGAGTCTTTAATGTGCGCCGAGAGCGTGCGTGACGTGTCAGCAGTAACAGGGTGTTATTTAAGTACCCGTGACATGCAGTACTGTGAGTACAGGCCACAGTACCGAGTAGCAGTACCCCTCAGGGCGTTCATCAGTGACTGAGATCACATCAATGCAGGGAAATTAAAAAATGCACATAAGAACAGCAACACATCTAACAGAAGAACAAAGTAATGTGCGTGAGTGTAGGACAGACTGAACAGCTGATCGCCTACATGTGAAAATGAACCTGACAGCTGGCTGACAAACACGTCTGACATGATTCCTGCAGCTTCGCCTCTTCAGCTCTGCTCTCCTTTCACTCTTCACGTGCTCCGTTTAGTCCCAAGCTGCTCCGCACAGCCAGCAACCCACACAGTGGGCCACGCGTTCGGTCACTCCTCGCTCTGCTGCGGCCCAGAATCACATCTGTTTTCAATTCAGTTTAAATCACAGCAGTTTGTCTCGAGGTGCTTCACACACTAAGGAAAAGCCCTGCATTAATACAAAGAAAGGGGCGGGGCATGTGACACGACAGGGTGAACAGACCCAGTCTGTAATAATAACTAATGATTTAAAGCATCTTTGGTCTACCTGCTGTACCCTGTACAGGTGCGTCCCCAAGGTGGGCACTGGCTACCCTCCAATATTGAACAGTGTTACAGGATATTTAAAGGGTTGGTCTGCCCATTGGTGGAGCGGGGGTGGTGGCGGCTTACTGGGCCTAAGCCCGGGTTGTTTTTTCAGAAGCCCGGGGTCTTTAGGAGTGTGATTTTTTTCATAGTTGGATGCCTGACTGACAACTGTTTAAAACAAAAACTACACACAATATTCGAAGCACATAGCGCACACTGTGGGAATTTAGGACTGAGCATAAATGCCCCCTAATTTTGGTATGATCCGAGCTCGGGTACTAAGCAACTGAGCACAGCACTGACGCCTGTGAGCGAGGGGAGAGAAGCTGCTGCCTGCCAGTTTGCTGCAGACAGAGGAGAGCTTAAGTTTGAGCAGGTACCAAAGCAAATCATTCGTACCGTACAAATAATGTAAATATGATGGCGAATCACGAAAGATTGATGTCAAACTGATCACTTGACCAATATTACGTTACTTGTTCTTTGAATGAACAAATGGCGAAATGAAAAGCCAAACAACAACAATGCTGCTTCTTTAGAGAGTCTCAGCTTACATGTGTCTTATATTATATCTTATATTCAGTTGTTACCCTACATGGCTAAATAAAGCACGACATCGGTTTCAGTTATGTACTGATGTAGATGGACATTAGAGGCTTCTTTCTTATACATTATGCTTTGTGTGTTCTTATATTTCTATGAAAAACAAGAGCATTTTTAATACACAGCAGTATATTCATAGTTGAAACCAGATAGTACAAACACTGTTTTTACTGTTAAACACCAATTTAAACTTGTTTTGTTTTAGATAAATATTGAAATATCTTTTGAATGAGTTAAATGTCAGAATAAAGAGAGACAGAGCTTCTATTTTTATCACTTTCATCAAAT